GTGACCAGCCATATTAATAATTAAAACAGGAATAGACAGTGAGCTAGGCCTTGGGACCAAGAATGAAATTTCTCAAGCAATATGTGATGCAGCCCAATTTCTTCTAGGGAATTGCAGCCACTGCCTACTAAGCCCCTTGATCTCGAGGAATTTGAATGCAAAATAACTAGTTTTTTTCCTCTACAATTCCAGTTTCCTTTAAACTTGACCTGTTGAAGAACTAGGTTAGAAGCAAGTTCTCTACAGAAACGTCTGTGACAGGTGGCCATGAAACAACTGAGCAATTCCTGTGCTTTTCACGTCCATGAGGAACAGATCGAGAAGCCATGTGGCCACCCACTTGGGACCCACCTGGAAATCCAGGAGCTAGTCTCATTTCCATTAAAAACTCTCCTACCTTCCTCCTTTGTTCTACAACTTTATTCCCTGACTTTTGTGGAGTGAGCAGCTCAGTGCGTATATTGACATTTCCATTTTAAAAATACAAATAGGCACACACACTCATCATTCCTTTTTCTTAGATAACTGATAGTATACCATGATAGTTAATTCTATGTGTCAATTTGACTGTGTCATAGAGTAAGCAGGCATTTGGTCAAACATTCTAAGTTTTTCTGTGAAGGTGTGTTGGAGTAAGATTAATATTTAAATTGGTAGACTAAACAAAAGCAGTCTCCTGAGTTGAAGGCCCAAACACAACAAAAAGCCTAGCTCCCATCACAAAGAAAATTCCTCCTGATTCAATGCCTTTCAACTGGGGTACTGGCTTTTTTATGCCTGAGCATAAGAACTAAAACATTGGCTCTTTCTGGGTCTAGCTGGAGTCTGCTTAGAATTACATGATCAGCAATCTCAGATCTTTAGCTTACTGGTTCACTCTACAGATCTACAAGTTTGTCAGCCTCTTTAATGTCATGTGACCCAATCCCTTATAATAATTTCATATAACTGTTACACATATTTAATATTAACATATATTCAATATATATGAAATTATATATGATTCTATAGAATGGATTAACCTTGGGGTTTTTCAATTAATCCTTCTGATAAACATTTAAGTCATTCTAGTCTTTTGCTATTACAACTAGTTTAGCAGTTACTGTAATTTACTCAAACATTTCCTTACAGGTGGGCAATTACTATATTTCATTATTATTTTCCTGCTTTGCAAAATGAATGCTGCATGAATAGATTCTCAAATGGGGTCATGAGGTATGTGCGATATGGGTACTTTTCATTTTTAAAACAAACTTTTCACAGAACCTGGCATGATTTTTTAAAAAATGTCATAGTAAATTATATTCATACTATAAATATATGAAGGTTCCCATTTTCCCAAATCATCTCTAGCACTGTATGCACCTCTTCTAATTTTTGCCAAGAGATAAAAATTAAGTCTATTCTTTTAATATACATTCCTGACAGCTAGTGATATTAAGCATTTCTATGTATTGACTACTGAAATTTAGGTTTCTAGGACTTGCCTATTTCTATTCTTCTTTTTTGTCTTTTTGAGACAAGGTCTCACTATGCAGTTCAGGCTGGCCTTGAGCTCACTGTGTAGCCCAGGCCGGTCTCAAACTCACAAAGATCCTCCTGCCTCAGCCTCCCGAGTACTGGGATTACAGGGATGTGCCACCATGCCCAGTGTATTTCTATTCTTTGTACATTGTTTTTCTTGCTAATTTTTGTACTCAATATGTCTGAAATATCAACTCTCATGTTTAAATTTTACCAAATGGTTGCAGGCCCATAAAAGATTTTAAAGCCTTGCTACACACTTTGGCAAGAAATGGTCCTTCCATAAATTTAAAAGACTGTGGAGTAACCCTCTAACAGCTACTATGTAGGTATTTTACTCTGACATTTTATATAAGTATTTGAGGAGTTCCTCTCATCTTGATTTTAGTATATATATCATCAAAGTTATGTGTAGGTAAACACATTCTACTAATACAAAATTAATATTGTTTTAATAAACTTACAAAGGAATCATGCTAAGTAACAGGTTTTTTAATCTTAATTATAATTTCTGCATGTTTCTGTGTTAAGACATTTTTCCTTAAACCCTCCATTTTTCTGTTTTGATCTAAGCTAATTGTCCTTTAGGTCTGATGCAAAATTATGGCTCTGAGATTTACCCACATTCTGTGAATTTCCCTCATCTTCCCCCTGGGCTATATCTTTTGCTAGTGAGGTCCTACATCTCTTTTCTTTATTTTGGAGGTGCACATCTTTCAGGAGCTTTCTGAAAAAAGAAGGCAAGAGAAGCATTTTTGAAACTTTTCACGTATTAAAACATATATTATAATGTCACACGACTACAAATTTGGTTGGTAGAAAATTTTAGGTTGAAGTTGTTTTCCTCCTCAGAATTTTGAATTACTCTTTGTCTTTCTACTGAAAATACTAATTCCTGTTCCTAACTGTGACTCACTTTTATCCCTCTCACCTCAGATTTTCGATCTTTTAGAAACACAGTAAAGTACTTTGGTGCTATGTTCTGAATGTGTCTCCATTCCTAGCTGAAACCTAACAATAATATATATATATATATATAGTTGCTAACAATAATATTAAGAGGTGGAGCCTTTATGAGGTAAATGGATTCTGAAGGCAGACCCCTCATGAATAAGGTTATGGTCTTTTATGTAAGAGGCCCTTTATACAAGCTTGTCTACCCTGAGAAGACACAGCAAGAAGGTACCTTCTGGGGAAATGGGCCCTTACCAGACACTCCATATGCTGGGGCTTGACCTTGGTCTTCAAGCCTCCAGAACTGTAAGAAACAACTGTCTGTTACTCTTGAGGACACTTCAGATCTACAACATAGTAAGAGCCAGGGGAATTCCTGCTTCTTTCCAGCTGTAGTGGCAAAGAAGTTTTGGGGCAGGGAGGATATAGCCAGTGATGGAACCAAGCCTACATCCTGTTGTAGTTCTCTGAAGGTTGTCTAGAATGATTGGCTTCTGCTGGGTGTGGTGGCACATGCCTGTAATGTCAGCACTTGGGAGGCTGAGGTGGAAGGATTGCCTCAAGTTCAAGGCCCGACTATGCCACATAGTGAGTTCAAGAGCAGCCTGGACTACATAGCCAGATCCTGTTGCAAAAAAAAAAAAAAGATTACCTTCTACCACGGTGGCTGGAGTAAGTGGCAGGCTAAGAGGAAACTCTGAAGGGCTACACGGTGGAGTCTGGTATGCCTCACACAATGATGACTTTAGGTTTTCAAGTGTTTTCCCTATTTATAATGTTTGTTTAGGTCTCTACCATTCATTTTAGTACTTCTTGTAAATGCTTCATTTCAGGCCATCTGCTCATGTGCAAAAACCCAACAGCTTTTGGGAGCACAACAGAAGCTTTTCAACGGAAGGGCTTTTATTAGGGTTTGATACAGAGGTCTTTTCTCTTGCCAGTTTCCGCGGGAAGAACAGGCCGCACCGTGGACAGAGCATTAGGAGGAATAAGTCCAACTGCCAACAATGTAGGAGCCGAGGAGAAAAGTGGGCTGAGGTCCTACCATTCAGAAAATGCTCTTCAGGATAATCTCTGCGCCTCAGCTGTCCTCAGGGCACATGAGAAGCCATAGCTAAGGTTATGGACTGTAAAGGGGATATAAGCGTCCACTGGTTGAATATGGACTTACAGACAACTGCACTTTCACTCCCACTATTACCTCCAATTCATGAAATCTTTTGGAGTTCACCCTTCTATGAGCTTTCAAGTCCTAATGAAATTTTAGCTCCGGTTGTTTAGTGCCATAGAATTCATTCTCAAGCTTTCTGGCTGCCCACATTTTGTACCTGTAACTACCTTGATTTTTACTGCCTCTTTAGGTCAATGTCATTTTTAAAAAGCTTATCGTTTTAGTGACGTTAGAAAGAGCACAAATACAGATTTGATTATCTATGTTTAACTGAAGTGTCTGTCCTATTTTCCAAAATACCCCGAAATTTAAGTTAATAAACCTTACTGTGTACCACTCATGAGTAAACACCATGAGACTGACAAGGAGGGTGTTGGCTAACTCACTCCATCTTGCCCCTACTCCTACTGGCTCCTTGCTGTTTGCAAGACCTTGTGTGGGGGCCCCTCTACTGAGTTATTACTCTTGCCTTACAAGTTTCCATGCGTATTTCCTCACGTCCTTCTGATTTCTGTCCATGTTACTTCACTGGCGATGCCTTCTCCTACCCATCCACACAGCACAGAATCAGTTCAACTGACCCTGTCCCATTACTTGCTATACCCTATACCCAGCTTTACTTTTCTCCATAGCACTTACCATCCTTGGCATGTATTTATTATTTGTTTCCTCCCTTGACTTTATGCTCTGTGTACCTAGAACAATGACTTGCACATAGCTGATGCTCAGTACATTTTTCTAAGGAAGTGTGTGAGGGAAGAAAAACAAAGCACAAGAAAGCAGTAAGGTTACTTGGTTGTTTAGATACTGTACTTGATAAAATGTGTGATGAAACCTTGATTGCTTTTGAGTTCAGGTAAGGTCTGGTCAAGGGTTTCGCTAATTCTGGTATACCCCTATCAAACTAACACTTAACCTTCCCATAAACTAGGGAAAAAGGAAAGGAGGGGGATGTTGCCAGGCACTGAGTATTATTGTATGGAACAGCACAGGGATTTACTTGTTCACCTGGCACAGAAGATCCATAAACACCTGTCCAGTGACCACTGAGCAGACTCCCTGAATGTTCTACTTTGCACGTCCTCCACTAGTACTTTTATATAAATTTGAGCTGATGAAGTCACAACCGTCATACTGAATTTCCTGTTATTTGAAGAGAACGGGGTCTTAAACTCACAGGGATCCTCCTGCCTTAGCCCCTCACATTCTGGGATTGTAGGCATGCGCCTCCATGGCCAGCTAGAGATACACTATTATTGATTTGTGAAATAACTGAGCCCTAGAATAATTTTGTGAGTTTCTAAATGTCAAAAATATTGATATATATCAAATAAATCAACATTAACAGCTATTTAACAGTGATAAAATATACCTTTATTTACTTTTTTGAGTCAAAGGGTCGTAAAAAAAATTATTGCTAAGGTATATATCAGGCAAACAGAAAGGTGCTTTAGAAATCCAGTTACCTTGTAGTTTATTTAAACTAAGAAGAAAAGGTCAACATGTTTTCATGCAATACATACTTGGTTCTTAAATAACAATTGTGACAAATAGCAGAAAGAATTAAGGAATGTTGCACTTGTGATCCATACAAAACACCAACATTTTGGGTTGTACATAATTAAAGAAATACCTCACTTTTGAAATACTGTGATAGCCAATACATAGAGGCATGCCTTAGGTGGGCATAGGAATGCAGTTTAGAAAACAACAACAACAAAAAAATCACACTGGAACTATACAATTTCTTTAAAATCACTGAGCAAGAAAATCAACATTGAAGTCTCATACTGATTTTACACAACTTCTATACAGTACCGTGACTTAAATCCAAGAGCAAAAGTTAAGACTCCCCTCCTCTATTTTTGGTAAACAACTGTATGGTAAACTTAGATGACTTATCCCCCTGGGTTTTACCTGGGAGTGGCCTTTTTAATATTTTATTTAAAAGAGGGCAGGTTTGGCACTTTTATACTGATGTCACCAATGTTAATGTTTCTTGGGATCTCAGGAAGGTTCATATTCTTTACAGCTGACACAGCACGGGCTGGAGCTCCTGCTAAGCCAGCCTGTATATAGAAGTAAAAAAAAAAAAAAAAGAAAGAAAGAAAATGTGTATCTCAGGTGTAGCTCATCATAAAACACTTACAATGGAAAACACTGACAAAAAATTTTCACGTAACAAGCTTAGAGACCAGATGGTATTTTGAGTTGGTATGAGATGGTTACTTTGAGATACTAATCTATAAAGAGAAAAAAATTGACACATTAAAAAATGGTGACTACATGCAAAAATAATGTGGGGCTTAAATACAAATTGTGTACTACCTAGTTATCATATGTAGTATCCATAAGACAAAAGCTAAATCTTTACCTATATCTTGATTTAATTGATATATAATCTGAACACAAGGCATAATTTACATTAGTTTCTCTATTAAACATCTCATATAGAAATTATGACAGCTTTTTTCTCTTGAAGTATCATTTATTATCAATATGCGCTGTGAAATAAAAAACTGAAAGTAACAGATAATACTTATTTAGTTTCTTTATCCAGGGATAAGCCCTTAAAATATTTCAAAATAGTAAAATTAGTTTTTGTAACTGTAGGGGTTCTTCTAAATTTTTAAAAGAAAGTTCTAGAAAATTTTTTAAAAATCAGGCTTTTAATTGAAGCCTCAATCCAAAGAGAACAGGTCTACCTAAAGATAAAACTGTAGTATCATTCCAACCTTTTACTCCATTAGTAAAAATATGATTATTAAAATTGTTTTGTCATATAAAGTAGATTCAACAACATGTGTTCAGTTTACAAATTTAGAAAAAGAAGAACATAAATAAATGCACTGTAAAATTTCCAGTAAGTACCTAGTACATAATATTTGGCTTTCCTCTTAGTAGAAAAAATTTTAATTTGTCAAATAATTTTTTGTAATAAAATATGCTTAAAAGAAAAATGCATGTATATATATATAAAACTTTTCTGAAACAGTTACTATCAATAACCTTCATATTTAAGATTTAATTTATACCTCAATGAGTTCATCGCTTTATATAGAAAAAGAATTTCATCATTTTTCATATAATAAAGCAAGCCAACAAATACATCTGAGTTGAGTAGCACCTTGCACCAAAGTAGACAAGTAAAAACAAATTTTCCATTTGTTCAGATTATTGATATAAAAGACAGTATCTGTAAAATTAGAAATGTGTAAAATTAAAGTCCTTTTTCAAAATTTTAGTTTTTTCTTTTATGTAATCCTATCTCTTCTGTTAATTAAAATAATATTAGTAATAATAAAGCTGTTACCTGAGAAAAATCTTGACTGATACAAAATAGGCCATTGTAAACTATTTGCTGAATAAAGGATACAAACATTGTTAAGCAACGAAATAAAAGCCATGGATTATCAATTCTGAACGGGAACAGAAAAACTGGTACAACAGTATCATAGGTATGGTCCACATAGGCAACGGGAAGGGTGATATGAATGCACAACTCCAAACCCGAAGAAAGACTATATAGGGCTGGAGAATTCAAATTTTGTAACTTAATGGAGGCTGGTTGTTTTTGATGTAAAACTAAAAATGCGACTGACTTCTACATTTATACCTACCTGAAGCAATGAAGTTTATATCTCACTTTCCTCCTGCTCCCCCAAAAGAAGTTAAAGATACAACTGACTATTATTTAGGGTAATATGTATCATATTCAAAAGGTTCTTTAATTTGATCATTTCAAATTAAAGGTCTACATACCAAATTATAGAATGGTTTGGAATCAATAAGAATCCAGTTTAAAGAGGTTTACCACCTTAAAAGCTTTCTCTTACCAGAAAGTATCCTGTCTGACAAGGGAATGAAATGTATTATGAAATTTCAGACATAATGGAACTAGCATCACTTTTCCAGGTAGAAGGATTTTATAATTTTTCTAATTAAAAAATCAGTTTATCATTACTTTCCCTTTGGAGTTTTGATAAGGGTATAAATAAGCAGACTATAGAAAAGTACTGATAAAATATTTGAATACATTTTAAAAGTTACAAATTCTAAGAAAGTTATTTTAGAGAAAGAATTATGTTTCTGTATATTATTCTGACTTCTATGGTTTACATTTATATATAGTAAACATAATTTTTTTTAGTGTTGAATTATATTTGTTATGAAGCTTTACATTCCCTAATTCCCTGTACTGGGTATAGCTACAGTAAGCTGTAGCAAAGAAAATGAAAATAAAAAATGCACCTTATTAAATATCATTAGACTAAGTTGCTTCTTTTCGACCAAAGATGGTGTCAACTGTTGGCTGCTAATGAGAATAGATAAAATCAACATAGCAATTGAGTTACATAGCATATATGTGCCTTATTACGTAAAACCGGAAGTTTCTAAATGTGTACAAAAATCTGTAATTCCTCTGAAGGTAAGCAGCAAGCCATAGACATGCAAAGGATGGGAACTATTTAAAACACGCAAATGAATTTAAACTGAATCAAATTATTTCTCAAGCATGTCCAATACTTTTGTGTAGTATATCAGAAATTTAAGTGGTTGGGTATTTTTAAATTGTAATATGTACTTTAAGTTTGATAAGGCTAACATTTTAGGAAATCAGATTCTACAGAATATAAAATGTGAAAAAATAAGGACTATGATCAATAAACAGCTGCTTAAATGGGGAACAACGTTTATATATAAAAACTATGGCTTAAAAAGAAACACTGTGTTACGTGGGTTAACACCAGAATGGTTATAAAGTTAACTCCATTTTCAGACTCCCATGAACACGAAGTCTGAAGCACTTTTTTGTGAAAAATAAAATGCAAAAGAGGTAATTTGCCATTAGGAAATCAACCTGCTGGCACAAAGGGCTAAAGTAATTCTTATCTTGGTTAAGATTTTTTCAGTAAAGATATTACTCAAAGCAATAGGGTAGCTTTTAATAACGCTTAACTTTTTCAATACTAAAATTTATCAATTTAAGTTTACCTGACCTGTTAGTAATATATACAATTTAAAAATGTAAAATAAGGTATTACTGAAAGGATAACACAGTTCTTAAAAATTTAAGGTTACATAGTTGACACAAAGCAAAAATATGAAAAATGAAATTCTACTGGAGAAATAACTTGTTTCCATCTACGTTATACTTGATCACTACCATGGCAGGTAGACTGAAGCAATTCCACTAACAAAAAAAATACATGAATCCAAAGCAGTTAAGAGTGTGAACTGGATGAAGAATGAAGTACAATATATAAAAGAATGATCATGTTTTCTCTCCCATGAGATTAAATTAACAGAATTAAGAGAAAGAAAACAAAATGAAGTCTGCAAGTATACCAAAATGAGGCCAAACAGATAGAAGACTTATACAGACATACTCTTGGGAATTTCAAGCACTCAAATCACAAAGATAGTAATGGATGGATATGATTTGTTTTTTATTTCATTTTTAAATTGCCAGACCCAAAAATAAACAAAATATGTGCGAGCAAAACTGAAAAAGCAGCACTGTTAAAATATATTTCAAAGAACCTGAAAGCTTCCTTTTCCTCCTACAATAAGCAATTAACTTTCTGGAAGGGAAATGGAAATTAACAATCTATTTATTTTGTGTTAGTAAATACCATCTTACCATCTCAAAATATTTTCACCAAGCTTGAAAAATTACATAATAAGATGGTAGTTAGAATATCTGTACATTCTAAGACCTTTCCTTACCCTTTCTGCTGCAGGTTGCTATCTGCACATTGATAATTTTGATCTAACAGCAAGTGAAAGAACGCCAACATTAACAAACATGGTATTAAATGGTTTCAGACTCAAAATCTTTAACAAAATGATGGCAGATTTTGAATGTATATCTTTGAGCACACAGAAAATTTCAGTATTTCAATTTCCAAGTGTGAGGCAGAAGAACTTTTAACCTGGGGACCTGCACTAGGCTTGCTATTTGCTCTAAAGGCAGTGCTTCCATTATACACACATTAAACTGCTGATGAAAATCTTCCAATAAGCGAGAACCTCAATATTGTATAAACAATTTTATCAAAATTAGGATGTTTAAAAATTTTACCTGTCATTTTATACATTATTTTTGGTTATACTTTTAACTTCTAACAAGAATTATCTGTGTGGAAAAAAAAAAAAAGAATTATCTGTGTGAAACACAGGGACTAATGACATTCACGAATTTATTGTAACTAGTTTTGATCATTACAAGTGACCTCAGCATAATTTTGCAGAAGAAAAAATAAATGTGTCTGTCAAGGTAGAGTGAGAAAATCCACTCATGACTTCCCAGTTTTCCTATTCTATACTCTTTGAAATTAGATATATCATTTTTTTTTTTTTAAAAAGCCAATTACCAGTTCTGGAGACAGAAGTTAATACACTCAAGTGGTTGATGGTTCTTTTGCTAGAAAACAGCAGTTTAATTTGAACTAGATACTGGAACATAGAAACTGGAAGCCATGTCCATCAACAAAGTGAGTGAGATTACCATGTATTTCCCATTCTGAAGGTAAAGTAACATGGTTCAGGAACCAAAAATGACCCTAGCTTCCCTATGCAGCCCGTAATTTCAGACTAAGGTATTATAAAGTTAACTGTACACTGCTCCTTCTCAAATCCATAGAGTAATAGTATAGTGACTAAAAACCAATCCCAAATTCTCAGAGATTTTTTTTAATTACTCAAATGCATAGTTGATCGTGTTAAGTCATATA